GGGGTGCGGGGGCGAGCTGAGTCAGCCCTCTAACCCTGCCAGGGGGGTACGTGGGCGGACACCGTCACAGCGAACTGACTGCCCTTCCAGACAGTGGCAGCAGTAGTAGCAGCAGCAGTCGCAGCAGCAGTAGCAGCAGCAGTAGCAGCAGCAGAGGCCGCAGGGGAGGGGAGCAGGAGGATAACGGTGTAGGAAGCGTCATGGACTGACACCCCCACCACATCCCCACCATCCCATCCCCCCCTAACAACACAATCCTCAACATGAAAGAGCACGACTCGGAGCACGACTATCGCGACCCCCTCCTCCACCCCTTGCTAGGGAGGTCCCTCGAGCCTTCGTCGTGCTACCCGCACCACATGTTGGTTCATCTGTGCGTCCCCCCAGCCTAAAACCCCGCTGCCACACGCCCTTCCCGTTCTCCCCCCCTCCTCTCCCACATACCTCCCCGCCCTTCCCCCCCCCCCGGGCCCCCCCTGGCGCACCTGAAGGTTAAGTTGCACCCCCAGTTCTAGCAGCGGGTGGGGCGGCTGGTGAACCGCAACATCGGCGGCCGGGACACATTCACAATCCGCATCCTCGAAACCAGCAACCCTGCCACTACTACTGCTGGTGCCGCTGCTGCTACGGCTTGCCGTACCGGCCTCTGCTTCCGCCGCTAGGAAACCCGCGGCAGAAGCCACCAAACCAAGCGGGCCCACAAACTGAACTCCTCCGCCATTGCTAGAGCTACTGCTACTGCTGATGCTACTGCTGCTGCTGGTCGCGACGTTTAACATGTCGATCCAGGACTCCAGTAAAGTCTTCGACCACCTGTCGTACAATGTACGGGACGGGCCTAAACGACAGTTGTACGGTGGCAGGGTTTATTCCAATTATGAGTGATGGATTGGAAGAGGGCGTTGGCGAGAAGGCCGCCGGGGTTCGGGAAGCGGTTGGCCGTACATCACGAAGGCGGGGGCGGGAGGCCGGGACGGGGAATGAGGTCGAAATAGAAACCTAAATCCCATCCTTCTTGCGTATCTCGTAGACCCAACCACCAACCATTAACCACCGACCCCCGAAGATTTGTTTCAGCAGGAACAAGGACACACCACCCGTTCCCCCTGAAAAAAACCCGCCTCTCCCCCCCTCCTCCCGGGCGCCTTCCCCCCTCCCGAGGCCCCCCCATCCAAGTCCCCCAGGGCCCCCACCCGCCCCGACACTGAACCCACCTGTTGAGCTCCCGCCACGTCATCTGTACGGCATCCCACACGTCCGCAGGTGGCCGATAACCCACTTGCAGGTTGGCCGTGATCGACAAGTCCTCGTACCTGCCCACATACACACATACACACATACACATCCAACATCGAACGGTTAGTTGCCGTACGCCACACGCCGGCATGCCCCCGATTTGCGTACGACGTCGTTTGTACCCGTACAGTACAGTGGGCCTTTTGACCATTGACAATTGACACGTGCGGGGAGAGAGAGAGGGGGAGAGCTAAAAAGAAAACCCGCAACAGTTGACCAAGTAACAACGGTTTGCTTTGGCGGTTAGGAGTCAGTTGGGGACAAACGGACCTGAGGACGTCTGCCGCATCCATCTGCAGTACGACTCGCTCCGAGGCCAGGCCACTGCTGCCGCTCGTACGAGTACGCAGTACGGTCATCTTCACGCCGTTCAGCGACTGTACGGCACCGTCTAGCGCCAAATGATCGCAGCTGGTGCTGGCGACGGCGAGGGAGCCGCCGCCGAATGGTGATGAACAAGGTTGGGAGGGGGAGATGGCGGAGGAGCTGGCGGCAGTGGTGATAGTGCTGGCAGTGGCCGCGGCCCCCGCTGCTGTCATTGTTGTTGGTGATGGTGATGGTGATGGTGATGGTGATGGTGATGGCGGTGGAGGTGGTGGTTGTTCGGCCGCCGCCTGGTGGAGTGCGGCCACCAGCGCGGCCTCCTGCACCACACACAGGGAGAAGAGGAAGACGAATGTACGGAATGTACGGAACGGCGGCGGGGGCCGGGCGGTGGGCATTTAGGAAAAGTGGGTTGAATATCGTACATTGGAAATGCAGGTGCACGCGTCCGTACTAAGCCGTTGTAGGTGGTGCCGAGTACGAGTGAGGGAGGGAGTGGGTGAGGGTGCGTTTGAGGCTGTCGGCTTGAAAGCTCCCAGTTCGTCCATAACATACATACATACATACATACATACATACATACTACATATATACACGCATACACACAACAAATATACGGAAGGTGAACTCACGGAAGGACCCTCGCCGCGGGAACAGGCTCGCGGGGGTCACAGGAGGGAGGGCTGCGTGTATGTCCCCTCCCCCCCCTCCCCCCCCCCCCGCCCCTCATGTAGTCCTACCAGTTGCTCCCCCGCCGGCAGCTTCCACTGCCCCACAGCAAGTACGACATCACCGGGCTGTAACCGCTCCTGCTGCCCTTCCCCCGCCTCTTCGGGCGCCACCCAGCCGTCTGCATGACGTACTAGGGCACCTGGCCGTACGACGACATCCACCTCGCCGTACGACAGGACCTAGGAAAGGACGGCGGCGGGGTGGCGACGGTAATGATCGCAGCTGTGGTTGCGGGAGGGGAACCGGCACGGGCCCGAACTCGGTTGTTAGGGGTCTTTAGGGTTTTAGAAGTTATCGAGTTGCAGTTGTCAGTTGGAGCAAAAAGGGGAGGGCGCGTCTCACAGAGGGGGGCCGCGCCGTCATCACATCAAGCGCTCTTACGTACGGCACACACGTCGTACAGCCCACCTGCCAGGCTACAAAGGCAGCCGCGAGGGCCACATTCGCCGCCACCCCCGCCGCCATCACCACCGCCCGACGACCCGGGGATAGGGACGTCAGCAGCCGGGGAGGCGCAGAAACGTGTTGACTGCCGTACATGCCGTACGTGCTGGCGGATGCGGCGGGCCCAGCTGCCGCTGCTACGTCCTTGGAGGTGAGGAAGGTGACGTAGCCGAGGAGGGGTATCGCGCGCAGTGTGTAGGTGGTGGTGGGACCCTGGGCCGGGGGGGAGGGGGGAAAGGGGGGAAAGGGGGGGAGGGGGGAAGGGGCAGCAAAGCCAAGGAGGTAAACCAGCTGCCGTATCAACAAGATGACGTAAAGCAGTGGTACGGGGGGGCTCCGGGGTTTGCATTGTTAAGTCCCTCTTGTCTGTAATGTGCACTTACGTATGTAAGCGTCTGTCTGTATGCATGCATGCATGTCTGTGCCTGTCTGTCTGTCTGTCTGTATGCATGCATGTGTACGATCATGCATGTGTACGATGTGTACGGAGAGCCCCCAGAAGGTCGGTCGGGTGGTGAGCACCGACCCACACAGGCACTCAGCACGCGGGTTCAGGAGGAGGAGGGAGGCGGAGGAGTACGTTCGTACGCACCTGCCACCAGGCTACGGGGGGCCCAATGCCCACCGCGCACTCCCTCACCGCCACCCCCAGCAGCCGGGCTGCAGCCAGGTGGCCCGCCTCGTGCACTAGGACGGAAAGATTGAGCAGCAGCGTGGCGGTCAGGGCCACCGAGGCGCCGCCGGGGGAGTCACCGCCGCCTGCGGGTGGCCCCCGCGTGTGTGTATTTTATGTATGTGTATGTATTGGGGAAATAGGGAATACGGGGAAGGAAGAGGGACAGCGGAGTGGCGCGAGGGGCGGGACGCGGTTGATCGGCGTTGTCAAAGCAGGGCTGCTGCTTTGCGCGAGTGCTGAGTCTAAGGCGAAACTAATTAGGAGGCACAGTTCGAATTGGCCGAGTTAAAATTTGGGGCTATTGGGGAGATTGGCCATGCGGTAAGGTGAGATTCGCGCGTTGCCGGGGTGTAGAAAAAAAACACCCCCGCAAAGGCATCGGCTTGGGCGGTTTGCAATTAGGGGATGGTAGGACAAGACCACATTCCTAAAATTGGATTTAGCAAAATTAATCATTGCAATTATGCATTTATAGAGGATTGTGTCTGTCCTCCTGTCTTCCGGGAACGGCCAATTGTCCAATGGTGCGCTTTTTCGGGTCAGCAGGCTATCATGGGAGCGCCAATTCATGCGCAACTGACGGAAAACAAAGCAAAGGTATGTAACGAGTATTCACGGCGCTCGAAGAATTTGAACGCCGTGCTTTAGGCGCTGGTCATATCTCTCTCGTCAGGTTCTCCGGAAGGACGGCAAAGCACAGCTTGTCAATTCTAGCAAAATTGAGCGACCTCGTGACTTACATAAATATCCAATGCTTCCAATTGCAACGCCTAATCCCAAGGCGCTTCCAGGACGAAAGCCCCATGCGCTTTCTTTCGTTACAGCAGGTCGCTGCAAAGATGCTGAAAAGTGCTGCCGAACTAGGCCCAGAGGTAATTGAATTTTTGAAGCTCTGGATACGTGTCGCTGGAGTGCCCACATCGTCCAGGGGAGCTTCGCAGCGGGCGCCTGTGCCACTCCAACCACCGGTATGGACGACAGTGCCATCCGCATGCCCAGGCACCCTGAGTTGGCCGTTGCGGCACGTAAGATATGCATATCCTTAAGATACCTCACCCGGTCAAGCTGGTAACCAGGTGCTCACTTGAGTGTCACTCAAGAAATGGTTTTGCTTCTGAAAGGAATAATCCAATTATGCCTTCGAAATCAAGATGGGAACATTACATTATGCTGGCCTTATGTTGCACCCTTCGACATCGTTATGGCGTCGTTATGATATCTGTTCCCCTTATGGCATCGTTACGTCGCCGTACACAGACTTATTACCCTAACTCCAAATAACGCTCAATGGCAGTACTTGCTTCTCACAAAAAACTGTTTTGCTCGTGTCTGAAAAGCTTGTTGCAGGCGTATTTAGTGGGTGATCTGCGCGTGGAAAGTCCACTTATGTAACACCTTGCCTTGTACCGGATCGAAGTTCGTTAGGGATAACAACCGTGACGAACTAGGCTTGTTGCGAGGAGATAGCCACAAAATTTCCTAAAAAAACTTTACTGTTTAATCATAACCCCTGCTGCCGGCGGGGCGCGTTAGGCGGGACTACTTGTATGAGACAGCTGCTTAAAAAATTGCCTACAGCGGCCGACTCATCCAGCCCCCGCGTCGCCTTGATTAATTTATTCACAAATCATCCATCCGCAACAACGTCTCTCTTCTTGCCGAGGGCCGGTGCCCCTACGACTTTTAGACCGAGAACCTCATCATGACTCGCATTACCAAAATAACCAGAGCCCAGAGCCAACCAACCATTCGCCTCTTACCTTCCTCGAGCAACTGCAGGAAATAATCAGTAAAGGACACAAAGAGATAAACAAGGAGGCAGGCCAAGAAATGTCTGAGCCGTCGCGTGCTCAACGCGGTTCCCTTTTGATTCAACATGTCTTTAAGCCTTTTTTACCGAGGAAATAAGGCCAGAACCCATGAAGATTCAAACATCACTGTACTTGCAGACGCACCCAGCCATGCTGGTCAAGTGCATGCTGGTCCTGAAGTTCCCCTTCACTTCTCCTGCTCCCTCTGCTGCTGCTGGGGCGGCTGCTGGTCGCCGTCCATTTTCTACCGTGTTCCATTTCTTGCTGCTACACACGATCAGGCAGGTGGGAGCAGCTGGAGCGGCGCTTCAGGAGCTCGGTGATCAAGGGAGAATGCGAGACACGAAAACAAGGCACTGGGCAGCTCTGAACAGCGGACTTCTCGCCCACCCCAGTCCCCTCCGCTGCTACTTCCGTAGACTCCTCAACCCCCCACACTATTCAATAACCCCATTCCATTTTACATCACCTACACGCGGTCCTTTAGAACTCCTAACGCTCAGCTGATACATTCCCCCGCAGCCCGCAAACAAACATATCTACATACACACACAGTTGTGTCAGAAAAAAACACATACCGTTACCAGAGGCCTCCGTGTAATGGTTTTCTCCTAGTCATCCTTCCCCCCAACGCACACACTGCCGCCGAAATGCCGCTTAGTCCTGATGGTGTTAATATGCGGCGGGTGGTGGTGGTGGGAAATATACTGGGGGTAGCTGGGGCGAGACAAACCACGAGCGAGTGAAACCGATGTCAAGGATAGACGGATACGTTAGAAGTATGTCAGAGTTAACTACCCAGTCGCGACTTGCGAAGGTGGAGTCTGGGTGGCTGGGCGGTGGGAGAGGGGCAACAGGAGAGAGGCGGCACACACACCAAGGAAGGACCCACCCCCCAGTAGTAGCAGCATCCGTACTGGCAGCCATCCCGACTGCAGGATTCCGAAAGCCAAAACCCTAAAACCTAATCCGGGCGCCCCCGGAAAACGTAAATCGGCCATGCTGATGGAATGGTGTGTGGTGTGGTGTGGTGTGGTGCGTTTCATTGCGCTGCGCCACGACGAGGGAAATGGCGATGTTGATACCCGAGTACGGCGGCGTGTGGTGATGTGGGATGTTAGAAGTTCTTTCCGCGGCAGCGGCGTCGGGGTTTCACCGCCGTACCGCCGTCCACACCGCCACCCTCTGTCGCCGCCGCCACAGCAGCAGCTGCCAGCGATGACGACGATGCCGAAGAGGATGGCGGTTGCGGCGGCAGCTGCTCGTACACGATGTCGTGCAATTTGTCAATAGACATGGTGGGGTCTGGGTGCGACGCGTAGTACGCCGCCGCCGCCGCCGCGTCGTACGGCCGTACTTTTTCCATCGTGATGAGCCGCCGGCTGTATCGCGTGGTGAGGATCTGCTCACTGCACCACCACCACATCCACCATCGAAAACAACAGTAAAAAAGCAGCAGCAAGGTACATGTAGCTGTCATAGTGTGCATCAGAAAAATTCTCAATTGCATACACGTCACGCACAGGGCAGTAGCAGCAGTAGCAGTAGGACCATTAGTAGCAGCAGTAGGAGTAGCACCATTCGCAGCAGCAACGTTGGCAATACCGAACCAACCTGTTCAACCGGTCGAATGCTCAAGGGGGCCGAGGGCACCCACGACTGTGAAGTATTACTACAAAGCAATACCGGCGGTACGGTGTGGTGCCGTACTGGGCCGCGCACCTGTTCGCTATCAGCTCCAGGGCGGGGTGTTGCGGGATCTCCGCCTTGTCGTACGTCTCAGGCGTGGCGGGCAGGAAGTACACCAGGCGGCCACCCACCACCAGCAGTCGGGCAGAGAGTTCCAACAGGTCTCGGAGACACTCGCCCAGAGTGTACGGCTGCGTGTACGGCAGGGTTGCGCAACGCAAGGCCAGGGGATTGCAGCAGAACGCACACGCGGGGGGGGGCTTGCGTTGATAAATAGGGGCTCGTTGGCCCTGGGCTGTTAATGTAGTTAATGTTGTTAATGTAGTTAAAATTGTTGATGTTGTTGTGATATTTGTTACTTCATTTCCTCCTCTCC